AGAATGACGTATGACTTATGGAATTACTATAGTCATACGTCACAACCCCGTTTTAACAACTAAGCAACGTGTAAACTTTGAGCACAAAATTAAGCCATTTGTCAAAAAATGTGGGTAATTAACATTGTAAGGGAATGACTCAGAAAAATATGAAATATCATAGAAATGTCAAAATACACTGGAGGGGGGCTTTAAGTACAGTACTACTTTGTTAGTGTCCACCACTGGGCTTAGCTTTGGCTACCTGAAACTAAGGAAAGGACTAGAGATATTTTTCTATATTTGGGCTCTGGACGGAAAGCTATCATCCATCATGATGGTGAAAATGACTGGCCTTAAGCCACAGTGCTTTAAGTGGGAGCCCCCTCCCACAGTCATCAAGGCATTAAAATGTGCAATGTGCAACACCATTCATAAGCTGAAATTTGTAGCCTACTCACACACACGCAGCTTGGCTTACATGCGTAGGGCAAGTTCTGCCGTTCTACTGTAGTCCTATGTGTACAGCACTGCTGTTCAGTAGGCTCGTTTGGGGCCAAATTTCTTTTTATTTTTGATACATTTGTATTTTTGAAATGTAAGTATATATATTTAAATATTCTTTTATCATATTTAGCTATTGTTATAATTTCTATTTATTCGGGTCAATTATGAACTATAGGTAAAATTGAACTGCTAGTAAAAACTTGGCAAAATTGGCTGGGGCTGAGGGGCCGCAGCTGCAAATATTTGAGTGGCTCCTCCTTGAACACGTGTTATCTCACTCCAAACTTTTGATAAAACTTGAGAGCCCTGCGTTAGCATTTATCTGAACGCACCTTTGTGCAAGTACAGCCTCACAGAGCTGCATACCTTAAAACCTCTAGGTATTACATCTTATTATCATTGTGTAGCAGAGGATTTCAGTTTTAACATCGTTTTTTAACGGGCAGCATGGCCTCTGCACTGTGTGGCTGGCCAACTGAAACTATCTGTCAAATTAAAAGCCACAGATTCAATTTGCAAATGAACCCTTCACCTCTCAGTCAGGTAATGGTTTAACAATTCATTACTGGTGTTGGCAGTTTGCACAATGTTCTCCACCACTTTTACATCTCTCCCTCAAATCCTCTCTCTCTGTGTCTCTATTAGGGTCTGAAGCCGATGGATTTCAACGGTTTAGCTGATCCTTACGTCAAGCTGCACCTGCTGCCGGGAGCCTGCAAGGTCTGACTTTATTAACATAGTTTTGTCCCTGCGTTTTTCAACAAAAGACCTTCAGTTCCCTGTTTTGAGTCCACATTTAAATCTGCACTAAAACATAATGACCTTGTAGCCAGTAAGAACCTGTTTTCCTGATGAGGTTGTTTGCTGTTTACAGGTGTGAGAAAAAGCTTTGAGTAACATGATTTTTTTCCTCTCCTCTCTGCTGTGATGGGCAGGCCAATAAACTGAAAACCAAGACTGTTCGCAACACACTGAACCCCGTGTGGAACGAGACCCTCACCTACTGTGGAATCACAGAGGAAGACATGTACCGCAAAACACTCCGGTAAATGTTTGTTTCATTGGCTTTCTTGCTATTTCTGTCTCCGTCACTTCCTGCCTCTCTGTTCAGAAAGCTGTCTCTTGCTTGTAAAGGATTTCTTATCTACATCAATCACAGAGTCTTTTGCTCTTGGTTTATAGACCTTTATTCTATCTCTATTTCAGTGTGTTGCCTCTCTCCCTCTATCTGCGCTGATCCTTTGATTCTCCTCTGTCGCCTCACCTTCGTTCCTCACTGTCCTCACATCTCTCCTGTCCAATAGGATCAGAAAAGATCCCCCCTCAGTCCTTCTGATACATGCCTCTCTTATTGTCTTTCTTTCTGTCTTGCAGTATTGCAGTGACAGATTGAGGTCAGACTAAACACCGCGGGGTGTTTTAATTTCATTGACCCCCCTCCAGAGGTGACAAAAGCTGAGAATTGTCTCTGTCTGTTACTAAAACTTTGCCACAGCACACGTAGGAGTGGGATTTAAATAGGATCAACGGTTGATCTCTCGGGGGAAATTAGAAAAACTGGTCCTACAACTGGCCCACGACACTGTGTTAATTCAGCAGAGGCGTTTAAAGATCAGGAACATACAAACATGTTGATGTCGTTTGAAAGTAATTTTATTCAGAGAAGGAATTCAGTCACTTTTGTACCACCATGTAAATCTTGCTTATTTAATAGATCTATTTAAACAAGAATATGTTTAAAGTTTTAAAGGACTAACTCAACCCTAAACAGTTTGCATTTTGTCTTGTAGTGTGTTTTTTCTTAGCACAGGGTAAAGGCCAAATGATAGGCTAAGTCCATTGTGTATCTACAAGGGACTTTTTTTACTCATCATTTTCAATACAGAAAGAAATGTATCACAGAAAAGAGGTTTTCCAATTTCTCAACCGACAGCAGTTTCATTGGACCAGAGCTCATTTAAACCATAAGATGTGCCACATTTTGATAAAGGACACAACTCTTACTTTTTCTAAAGTGGAAAACCTTTAGCTCTCTATTATCTTACAGATCTTAGAAGTACTGTTACAATTCAGTTCAATACAGTACTATTCATAGGTAGCACTTATCTATATTGCCTTATGATTATGGGATGTCATGATCCTTTTTTTAATTCAGAACCATCTGTAGGCTATTGGCCAATTAGCTCTTGCACAGTAAGGACCAGAGTCTATGGAGTTTAATTTCTGCCCAGAAAAGAAGTTAAAAACAGTTAGAAATCAAAATACTCATGTTTAGGCAAAAAAAAATCTAAGTGAAAAGCTTGATTATTTTTCTAAGGAAAAAGTTCCAAATGATAAAAAGTATTTGTAATCATGGTAATATTCTGTTGTACTTACTCAAAATTATGAAATTCCAACATTTTACTTTAAATTTTTGACAATTTGATTTATTATAGCTTTTTAGTTTTTCTTGGCAGAAATTAGCCTCCATTCAAGCCAGCATAAAAGGTGTCATTATTTATTCATGACTTTAATAATATCCATCACCTTATCTACCTGCAGTAGCAGTAGAGCTGCATCTAGTATCAGTGAACATTTTTAGTCACATGTCTGACAATTGGCGGATTACATTTATCACACTGCTTTACTGACATATTGAGGTCTTTTTGATAGTATTTGGTTTAGTATTGGTAGTAGGAAATGTGAGCTGTCATATAGGGACAGTAATGTGTGTATGCATGTTACCTCATAATGTGTAACTGCAGCCTTACATCCGTCTCACATTATAATGACATCAATCAAGACCTTTTCATCACAGCTGTCCTTTACTCATCCATCTATCGCTTAGTCTTTCACATCTCAGCTCGCACTGACTTCATCTCTCTTTATTGCCTTCCGTCGTTTCCATTTTCATTCGTTGTTATTTTTTTCTGCCATTTGATTCTGAAGGGTTCAGGGCTCCTTTTGGCTAATAAGCTTCTACTCTAAAATTACCTCTGGGGATGCCAACACATATCTCATGTCCCCAGATACCCTCTACAATTCTGCAGTACAGCAGGTTACTGCGACATTTAATTCCTGTGGTTGGGAATTAGGAGGCAACACGTTCCTATCTGGATTTCTCCTCTAACAGGTTGCTTTCTTAGTTTTCTTCTCCTCATTGCATGTCTTTCATTCACATGTAAGCACAGAAAAAAGGCACCAACAGCAGATTGACCTGTAGCATACTGATTTTTCACTTCTGCCTATAGAAGTACACATTTGCATGCATAAATGACTCCTCGCACACACACAGACACACATATTTAAATAAATTGTTACATTTTTATCTCTCCCTCTCACCCACGTCACTCCATTCCTCGCTCGGCGGATTTTGATTTCACATACGCTGTCTCCCTCCATCTCCTTCACTCCTCTCTGCTGCTCTCACCCTCTTATACATTTCAGGTGACGTTATAGCAGGTGTAAAAATGTGCCATATTCATTAATATGGATTGACTTAATGTTGCATGATGCACTTTCACACAAAATTCCTGGGAGGGAAAATGGTAATTACTTGTACAATGTGCGTATACAGATGCTAGATTTATGCGGGGTGATTTTTCTGACCGTGTGCTATTTAATTCAGGTCAGGTTTATGTCAACAATTTCCTTCCCTCCTTAAAATGTTGCCACAACATTAGGCCTAATTAAATTAGTCATAATAATTAAAGTACTTTGACTACCACCCTCCCTCACACACACATGCAAATGCACACTACTTCTGTCTACGTAAAATGTCCTAAATCTCTGCCTCATTAATAAACATCTCTTATTCTTATTCATACTTCTTCCTCTCTACTTCTTTGTCTATCGCTATTTCTAATTTTTTTTTACCCCCACCCACCATTCTGTCTCTCACTCCCAGGGTGTCCGTGTGTGACGAAGACAAGCTGACACATAATGAGTTCATTGGGGAGTCGCGAGTGGCCCTGCGTCGTGTGAAGCCTGACCAGACCAAACACTTTAACATCTGTCTGGAGCATCCACCTCCTGTGAGGAGGGGTGGGGGGGATAAGAAAGAAAAACTTAAAGAAAGAAAAGAGGAAAATGACTGTGTGAGAGAGATAAATGACTGGAGGGTACAGTAATATTCAATATATTAAGGTTTCCTGTCTGACTCACAACCTCATCTTTTAAAGATGTGTGGGGGGGGGGGGGGGGGAGACAGCAGGGGGTTGAGGTGTACAGGGAAAGTAGGAAATTGTGTACATGCCAAGAGGGAGCCATAAAAATGTCGATTTTTAGAAGACATACCAATCCAATCCGATGATGACCACACACCTGGGTCTCACAATATATAAAACCCCAACATATCTGCACTGTCACTGTAGCATCCTTAGCAAAAGAGCTGAACAACTGCCATCCAAAAGCTGCTGGATGAAATGTCCCCAAATACCAAAAGACCCTCCTTATGCTGATATTGGTGTTTGTGAGTAAAGAGCGTATAAATAGCCTGATTTTCCTGCTACATAAACACATAATCATAAAGAAAGTATGCTAATGCAAATGTGTTTATTAGTGTTATAAAATATACAGAGGCAGGCATTTTACAGTTGCATAATTTACTTTCTTGTTTAAGATGACAATAACACTATTAATTATTATAAATAATAGTAAATAAAAATGAATACAACAAAAAATGTTAAATAAATAGTTATGGGAAATACGCTAATTACGCTAAAGAAATAGGTGAGAAGTCGATACTGCTCTCATATCTGTATGATCAATAAATATAGCCAGCAGCCAGTTAGCTTAGCTTAGCATAAAAGCTGGAAACATGGGGAACCTGTTAGCCTGGCTTTGTCCAGTGGCTCAAAAATCGGAGTACTAGCACCTCTAAAGCTCACTAATTACACATATATGGGTCCTTTAATTAGCTCCTTGTGCCTGTTTAGTGCTGGGTTCGGATTCTATCCCTAGGTACTTCCACTGAAATATTTTATTCACATGTCAAGTCAAGATTTATTTTTAAAGCAAAGTTATACAGTCGAAGAAATAAAAATGAAAACCAGATAAAATTAAAACAAACAATTAATGACATACAGCAATAGGATGTCATAAGATTAAGAGAATGTTAAAGTTAGTTTAGCTGTCTCCTCTGTCTGCAGTGCTATGTTCTTCTCTCATCCTCGATGATATGAAGTACTGCCAATTGTTGCAAGAGTTTTCATCTCTGAGTTCTCCTCTTTCTTGCTCTTTCAACCACATAGTTTAAATTCACACATCTCTCTTGCAACAGAAAACAAACACACAGCTCCGACCACAGTATCCTCCAACTTGTTAACAGTTGTTGTTGTTGTTGTTGTAGTTGTATGTTGCGTGGAAGTGACGCTGCTGTTCCAACCGCTGCCAGCGTTTTCTGAAAGAAATGCATTGACGGTAGACTATGTAAGTCTCGGGGGAGCTCTCCATTTGATCTGAAAACGCGTTACGTCAAATAGTCTGGTACTTGACTTCTTTTAAAAAGTCCAGTTGTCATTTTAACACTATACTATTTGTTTTTTGTTCGGATTAAACAAACAAGATGTAACATGTTAATTAGTGCTCTTTAGAGGTGCTAGTAGGCAGATTTTGTTGCCAATGAAGAAGTGGTGTCCACATGGGCGTCGCACAAAAATCTGGGCCAGTTGTGTCGGAAAGACTAGAAAGGCGCTATACAAATACGGAGCATCACGTATTATATTTTGCATTTAGCCAATATCAGCTGGTAATATTGACCTACTGGCATAATTCAGATGATTCTTGCCTGAAAATAACAAACAGGCACACAAAGGATCATATATTTTCTTCTAGCCCACAAATTGCTTTTTGTGGGGTTGGGAGAATAAAAGGAGATGAGAAAGAGCGGGCGGACGGGGGTCGATAGACTGAGCAAGTGAGAGAGATGAGAAACAAATGGATTAAAAAATAAAAGTGGTGGAGAGCGGGGGGCCTGTGTGTGAAAAGGGGAAGGGAGGGTGCTGGGTTTTTGTTCTTCATGAGTTAGAAAGGGCTGCTGATATTAGATTGGTCCTCTGAGGCTGGTGGCCACTCTGCGATCAAACGCTAAAGCCCCTCTGTCATCCTGCGTACCAGACACTGTCATTTTCAAAGTAGCTTCACCCTCGACTAGATACATCCCTTTCTCTTTGCGCTTTGCTCCTCTAACCTGCTTGTACAGCTTTTCTGTGAGTCATACCCCCCCCCCCTTTTTTTTTTTTAAATGTCTTTCTCCTCTTTTTGCCTTATGTGCCTCCAGCTGCCTTCACCGACTGCGATGAGCACAGCCCTGAGAGGAATCTCCTGCTACTTGAGAGAGGTGACCAAATGACTCCTCTGTTCTGGTCAACATGACCCTCCTTCTGTCTGTCTGTCGTTATAGAGAGCCTAAGTCACTCGCTTCTGCTTCCGGGCCCTGGGACCTTATTTCGTAAAAAATTTGTACGGTAGTCAATGGCGAGAGACAATTTAAAAGATAATTTTGTCCGTCAAGAAAGTTGCAGTTTGTCGTAAAACAGTAAAGTTAAATGTCGTTTTGTGTGAAAACAGTTCAATGAACTACATCTCGTCTTGCACAACATATGTCACCAACATGTTAGCGCGGTAATGCTAGCTGCTTTTGGATTTGTGGTGTTTGTAATTATGTATTTTCAGTCTTATACCTCAACAGTTTTACATCAAACTGCGACTTTCTTGACTTTGAAATGTATATTTCACTTCAAAAAAGAAAGATGTATGAGGCTTGCAGTTGCCGAATAGACATTCAAAAACGTTGTGGGGAAGTTACGATAGGGAAATCCGCCGTAGCACCCGGGCACGACGGACCCCCTTAAAACCCTATGGAGAGAAAGAAGGAGATCAGGAGGCAGGACAGATATAGGGGCGGGTGGGAGGGATGCAGAATACGAGAGCGAAGAAGAGGAATTGGGATGTGTGGGTATTTATGGAAATGCTGTTGATGACGTGGTTGATGTGTGTTCCCGCTCCTGAAACTCTGCTAATTAGAACCAGTTTAAAATGACCATCATCATATGTGTAATTCAGAGCACAATTCAAACGGGATCAAAAAATTTGCTGTCTCTCGCCATAAACTACCATAGGGAGGGACTTAGGCTCTCTATAGTCCATCTTTCAAGGACTACACTGGGTTTTGTTCACCTTACTCAATATAAGATGACATGATTAACTTCAAAATAATATCCAAAAGTATGAGAAACCTATTTCTAAACCTAGAAAAAATATTAGTTTTCATTCTATGGCTTGTATTTTCTTGTGGAGGCAAAATATCATTCAGCAGTCTTCATTTAAGACTCATCAGAGCAACAGGTTTACATCTACCAAGTGCTGAAACAAATCCATCCAGTGGTTAGCATTGTCACCTCACAGCAAGAAGATCTTGGGTCCGACATTTGGTCGTCCCAGGCCTTTCTGTGCGGAGTTTGCATGTTCTCCCCGTGTCTGCTTGGGTTCCCACTGTCCAAAGACATGCAGGCTAATTCAACTGGCAAATCATTATTGTGAAATATCTATAGACTGCATTTTATAAACCAAACAGTAGTAATTGATTAATTGATGATGACAATTATCACATCTAACTTTACTCACCTCTTTTTTGCAATAAAATGTAGCTGCAGTACCGGAGGCTGCAGTTTCAGGACCCCTGCAATCCTGGGTCCGTAGGGAATCTAGGACCATAGTTCTTTTGCGACAGCGACATCTAGTGGAGTGGTGGTGTTAATGCACAGCAATACGAAGGAGGTAAACCCTGCCTGCTAGCATGTCGGCTGCATAAAAAACAGAAATGCTCACAAGTCTTTGAGCTAGAGTCCAAGTCAAGTCTCAAGTCTCCTGTGGTTATTACGAATGCTGTATCACCTGCTGCGTTCAATCCAGGTTGCTAATAAAACTGCATGGCTATAAGTAATTCTGTAACTATAACCTGTTTTTCATTTACAGAGCACAACCATGTAATGTGCAATGCAATTATTGACAGCTTATTAAATACTGTAAGTCAACACACTCCCCAGACTCTTAAACCCAGTGTAACGTTAACTAAATAAAACTGTAAGTTTACATGATCAACAATAAACCTGTAACCTCTTTCTAGCCAACGGTAATAATTAACGTGATGGCAGCCAGCGGGACGTAATGATTACGTTAATCGACCACCACAAGTTTGGCAAGTAAACAAACGCTCATTCGTCTTTTCATAACGAAGGACAGTCGGACTAAACCTCTCGTCGGTCGTAGCTGAAGCAGGCAACAAGCTAACGTTTGATCGCCAATGCTGAGCTAAACATGTTTACTCACCACAGGTTACTAACCTATTTGCGTTCAGCGCGTCTTTTGTTTGGGTCTTGTATTATGAAGTTTTAAAGCCAAAGTTTATGATGAATGGCGGAGCAGCTGTGTGACGTATGCAGGTTATAGGTAAGGGAGGGAGGGGAATAACAGCACGCTCATCAGACGTTTACTAAAAATAAACATTGTCCGAGTCGAGTCTGAAGTCTTTTGAGGACGAGTGTCAAGTCGAGTCTCAAGTCACTGCGTATGCGACTTAAGTCGCACTCGAGTCCGAGTCTCTAACTCGAGTCCCTGGGTCTTTCTCAATCTGTGTTCTTGTGAAACGTCATCTTTTGTGGCCCAAGTACTGTCCCAATACACAAGTTTGCATTTTGGCAAGAACGGTTAAAAATCCCGGAAGTGTTCTTGACACGCCTATTTTGCCAAGGATGCATCGGTTGGTAACTTGTGTGAACTTGACGGCAGAGATATCCCAGCATTCATTTCGGCATTCAAGCAAGGGGCGGAAAGAAGCTGCGAGAGAGGCCGACAACAGAAAGTTTTTACTATTTCAATACGTTGTTTCATAACTAAATCCACTTCTGAGAAGTTTGAGGCGAGAAATCAACTGTGTAGATGTCGAATATTGGCAGTTTTACTAAAAATGATGGCGAATCGAAAATGTGCTCAATCATTTTCGGAGTTGTGACGCTGCGCAACTGTCAGCGGGGGGAGCTAGTGAACCAGCCCGCAGGGGGAAGCTAACGAGCCGGCCAGCCAGTCAGCTCACAGAGCCCGCAGACATGCAGACCACTGTAGCCAACACGGCAGAGTAAAGACCCACAGCTGTAAGACAGTTTTAACGTTCGTACCGCTGTTATTCTGTCATTACATTCTGAGAAATTTTGTAAGGTTTTAACTTAAATCAAGAGACATCTGGATGATGTACAAAAAAATCTGGTCTTTTGAAACTTCGGAAAAATTAAACAAATAGAAAGAAAGGAGACTGTCTGTTCTTTATTACTATTATTATTATTAATATTGTTATATTAGACATTATATTGTTAGTGTACAGTAGAGTTGTGGTCACAGTATTTGCCTTTTATTTGCTTTTATTTTATATATTTTTTTATGTATGAGCAAATATATCTTGTTAGGTTAAAACCTACAGTTAATCCGATTCTGAGCTTTTTGTTTTGGGGGATAAAACCAAAAATATATATTAAAAATAATAATTAGACCGATTAAGAGAAATGCAGGCGGCCTCTGTGCTGGGGGTATTGCGCAATACCAGCAAGAACACATCGTCTCAAGCCGTCAGCAGCGTTTTGTGTGCTCGTGACATTGCAAGTTCATTCTCCCAAGAACGACTAGCAAGAATGTTCTCCCCAAGAACACAAGTCCGTTCTTTGCATTCTTGGTTTTGAGAAACAATCCCTATCTCTGATTTTTAAAAAAACTACTATATGTGACACAAGAACAGCAGTATTAAAAGTTACAGTTAGAGTTTTCTCGTCCGACATTTCCGCTTTTTGGTGGCGAAATGCATTCTGGGTTATCTGGCTATCCAAAGTACACACAAGTCACCGCTGATGCAGGCCGGGTAAAACGGGTGGAGCGAGAACACATCCGGGTATTTGACTGTACTTGGTTAGATGCGGACTTTTAAATTGGAACAGTACTTTGGCTGCAACTGATGACGTTTCACAAGTCCACAAGAACACCAGTACAGACAAGACGCAGATTGAGAAACAGCCTAGGGTCCTAGAAATGCAGTTCCGGTCCTAGGATTGCGGTCCTGAAACTGCAGTCTCCGGTACTGCAGCTACATACTACTCCTTTTTTGAGTTAATTTTACCAACACGTGCAGGTTAAATTGTGTGCCATTAAAGTCAAACCATTTACCACTATGACAATACACACAAGACAAGAAGTGGATTCACAAGAACGAGACTATATTTTCACACTATTTTAAGAAGTTGTCAGTGACAAAATGCATGACTGGAAAAATTGTCTTTTATTTGACTGAAAGTCACAAAATGCAAACAATGCAGGTGCATTTTGAAGTGTTGCTTACATATTATCGTTGTCTTGTCTGTCGCTCAGTCTCTGTTTATTGTTTCCACTGGGTACCCATCGTGCTGCCACACAAACATCTTCTATGCTAATTTCACCCTCACACTCATGCTGATATTGTGAGACAGCTTTTCACCTGTACGAGAAATATTGTCACGTTTTAATATTGCGAGACACGAGATCTTATCACACCACGTTGTCTATATTTATAATCACAGCTAACTGATTTGCAAACCATTTGAATTTGTGTTTCCATTACTTTCCACCTCTTTCTGTCTTTCTGTAATGAAAATCAATTAGACTCACTTGAGTCATGTAATCCATTAAGGCAGCATTACTTTATTTCTTTGAGGTTGTAACACGTAACATTTCAAATCAATCTGTGGTTAAATTGAATACTTGTGTTTGAGTTTTCTATCATTTGGAAATGGCTGGAAACGATCTAAATCTGTGCAGTGAGACCATGTGACGTTTGCTGAACGGCAGCCACTGTGGCAAAAAGTGAAAATGACAGCACACTGGTAAAAGGTAGTGTAACAGTACACAAGTCGATATGAGTGATACAGTTGTGAACTGTAGAGCAGTCAAGTATCATTAACTTACATTAGTGAATGTGTGGCACTTTTATTTATTATTTAAGTGGACTAATGGATGAATCAACTAATAATTTCAGCCCTAATATATAGTTGCTGTCTCATGACTTACTTACCAATCTAATGGCCAATTACCTCCTTCTGTATTGTATTTTTTCTGTGTATAATTGCTTTTAGTGATTTTATATATATACGTAGTATAGTACCGTTGAAATATGTATACATACATCTTTTAGAAAGGCATTAGCCACTATAGACTACCGGTCATACCAGACTGAATAAGGCTATAGCAAGAGAACCTGAAATGAGTAAGTTTCCTTTGAATACATCCTTAAATACGTGGAAAAGAAAGAGATAGAATGGTGTATTTATCTCTTTCACATGTTGTAAAAAATGTAAAATCATGTAGGATTATTTCCAAACACTGGTTTTGATCTTGATGTTTTTATACACAGCCATGATTTTACAGCCAATCCTCTCATCAACATGTTGGGTAAATTAACAAAATAGCCAAACCAAAAGGCTGGTGAATTCGTTTAACTCCATTAAGATGGCTGGACTAGAACAGCTGACTCTGTGTTTCTCACCATAGTCAGGATTGTTTAATGCGTCTTGGCTGTTCTCTGCCTCGCAAAACCACCCGTCTGTTAGCTGTGTGTGGCTAGCTCCACATTAATGCCTGTTTATTTCCACCTCCCTAATGACTTGCTGTCTATCGATCTGTGAAGGTCTGAGCCGTTTCATTACCAGATACCTGGTGCAAATTATCCCCACTAATTGTGAGTTTGTAAGTCTCCTGCTCAGTCAAGGCAGATGGTGATCTGGCTGTTGGCAGTAATGAAGATTCCCAAAGAAAAACACAGACAGGGAGAGGAGCAAAACAGGGAAGAGAGAATTAGGATAGAGAAAGAGAGGGACGAGTGTGGTGCTTGTCGCATATTGATTGCCCTGGCGAAGTCCACCTCTTGCCTGAAAATAAGACTTAATGAGAGAAGGAGAGATACAAAGGAGAGCAGAGACATTTAGTGAACAATACAGTAGAGGAGTGATGGAACCCATTTTACATTAAAGACAAAAGATAAAACAGAGCCGTCTCCATTTTCTGTGGTGAAACAGCAAACATAACTTGGTTGAAAAAGATGGCACCTGCAGTGATGGAAATCCTGAAATAGCAAGCGTGCGTCTTTCCTATAAATAACATACATGCATTGGTGCCGTTGGCAATGAGGGTGAGTCACGGTCCTGTGCGAACATCGCCTTCCCCTTCCTCACCCTCTGCCGCTACTTCCTTGCTTTCTTTCATCTGTCACTTTGAATCTACTCTGATGTTCCGCTTGTTGTCAAATGCTCCGGTAACAGTTCAGTGTTGTCCCCGAAAAAAAATACTCAAGCTGGAGCTTCATAATGCATTAATATGTCTTTAAGGTTTGTCCAAGACAGGTCTTTGCCATCGGATCGACTGCACTCCTGTTTATTAACACTGACAGTGGGATTTTGTCTCTGAG